ATGCTGTAGATTATGCAGCTATGCAAAGTGCCAGCTAAAATACTTTTCTGCAGGATGGCCTCAACAGTCCCATAACCTATTCTCAGAGTAGCATTTTTATTCACTGATCTTCTGTGATTCAGCAGGAGATTCATTCTGCCATTAAGGCATTCATAATCAGGAGGATCAGCGGCAATTTCTGTAGCACCACTGGATATCCTTCTTATTAATTCACATAATGCCAATTTTTATCTTTCCAAACCTGCGTTTCCTGCCTATATAATGTTTGTGTGGCAAGCTTTTGGTAGCAAGGAAGTTAGGTTTGGCTTCTGTGAGAAGCTGCTAGAAGCTTCCCCCATATCTGACAGAGCCAATGCCAGCCAGCTCCAAGACAGACCCACTGCTGGTCAAGGACAAGCCCATCAGTGACAGTAGTAGTGTGCCTGGGGTAATTTAAGAAGGGGAAAAAGTTATTGTGCAACAGCAATTGCATCCAGAGAGTATGTGAAAGAAACAGCCCTGCAGACACCCAGGTCAGTGAAGACTGAGAGGAGGAGGTGCTTCAGGCACTGGAGCAGAGATTCCCCTGCAGCCCATGGTGCATCCCATGGAGAGGCAGCCTGTGCCCCTGCAGCCTGTGTAGGTCCATGGTGGAGCAGGGGGATGCCTGAAGGAGTCTGTGAACCTGTGAGAAGCCCACACTGGAGCAGGCTCCTGGCAGGAGCTGTGGCCCCATGGAGAGAGTAGTCCACACTGAAGCAGGTTTGCTGCAAGACCTGTGACCCTGCGGGGGACCCCTGATGCAGTAGTCTGTTCCTGAAGGTCTGCACCCTGTGGAAGGGACCCATGCTGGAGCAGTTCATGAAGGACTGCAGCCCGTGGGCAGGACTCATGTTGGAGAAGTCCATGGAGACCTGTCTGATGTGGGAAGGACCCCATGCTGGAACAGGGGAAGAGTGTGAGGAGTCCTCCCCTGTGGGAGGTAGTTTTCAATGTTTGAGTTAATATAGTTGTGTTTGAAACATAGATTAAAAATGCCAAACTGCCTGTCTTAGATAAACAGAGCAAGTTGGAGCCGGTCTATCTTTACAGTCATGACTATAGTTACGTCTGGTTAATGTGCGAAAAAGGAAAAATACATCTGGATGACTTTGAGAAATCTCTTGCATTCTCTATTAATTCAATCTAGTTTCTTAACCAGCCTTTTAGGTTTTCTTTATGCACTGAAGTGCATGTATTTAAAATTAAGTTTATGAATGGAGAGGTTCCTGAAGTCAATGCATCTCATTGTGTGATTTAAGCAACTTTTTGTGCATCACTAATAGTGTCACAGGACATAGTACCTGGTATGTTTTTTTGTGTGCTTCAGGAATTCAACAAAAATTGAGTGAAAATATGTATTGTGATTAATCTTGAAAAATATAAGGATGCCATATTACTTACAGACTCATTTCTTCAACATAAGTACCTTTGGGTTTTCCTGGTGCTTTCATCCGACTTCAGTATCATCTGTGAATGTGCAGCATTAAACCTTTTTTAAAGATAATTAAGATACAGAGGAAAAGTTCTGTAGGACTAAGTGGTGTAGCATGCACTTCATTTCCTTTCACAGCCTGGTACATTTCTGCTTATTACTACTTTGTGCTTATTTTCCTTTCAAGCTTTTTTTTGTGTTCAATTCACTGCTACTAAAATACTACTTCAAGTAAAACTTCAAGACGCATACTGGATTCTAAAGAAGTTATATATGCTGTTTCTCTGAATAAGGTTATATGCTTCTTAGTATTCTAAAGCTCTTTCTTGAGTGTTTTTAGTACTGATTCATTTTACACATAGTAAATGTGACGGATAGTTGCGGAGCAGCCTTTCATAGACACTTTTGTATATGAGGATGTTGCAACTGGGAGAAAAAAGTCCCACATAGCCTGGAACCTTTTACTTAATATTTTTGTCATGTAAAGAATATATGACTTAATGAAAACATTAGTAGATGTCTTCAGATTTAAAATATGTCTTACAGAAACAAGACTACCTCTTTGTCTCTTTTGAAGGAGTTTTTCCAATCAATTTATTTCTAATATGCAATATAGTAAGCCATAATGTAACTTCTGCATCATAGTGACATGTCCTCTATAAATTTGTTTTGTGCAAAATATTTTTCTTTAAAATTATCGATTTTAAATTAGCCAATTGGCTAAACCCAAAGTGTTACATTGCAGACATGCAAACATAGTTTCCCAGAGTACCATCACTGGCTGTGATGGCAGCAGCTATTGAGATGTCTACATCATTTGATTAGTTTGCAGTATAATGTACTTTTGGAGCAAATGCCATGTTTGTCCTCATTTTCTGTGCTTTGTTTCAGTTCACAGAATGTTTGGCACCAACCACACAATGCTTCTTCTCTTGTTTACTTATCTGGACAGCTGTGATTGTGTGTAGAGACTTTGCAAGCAGGATATAATTGCTTTGTGCTCTTAAGCTATAAAATTTATTGGCTAAGACACACAGTAGGTATCTGGGAATGTTGCAGTACTCATCATCCCTGTGGAATTGCCAATGAGTCCTTACTAACCTGGCAGTCAACAGTCAGGTGGGAAAGGTTCAATCTCTATTGCTCCCTGAAAGAGATTTGTCTTTGGTGCTGCTGAGTTACCATCCTCCAGCTCCATTGATTTCTTCCTTGAATTTTACACCTTGTCATGTCAGTGCTTTTCCTCTTCAAGTCTTGAGCTGCTAACTAGACCCATCTCAAGAATTTCACCTGTGTCTGGAATTGTTCCTTTCCTGTTTTGCATTGATACCATTCTATGTATTTTATTATAACTTTTGTTAAACTAAGCGGTTTTCTCAACAGATTTAAACAAGATTCTGCAGCTGTGCAATTGTGTCATTATGCAGCGGGTCATGGACAGCTGAACATCCAGGTGCATGGTGATACCTACCTACCTGCCTACAAATCTTCATGATGCCCTCTTCCATCAGGATCTCATCTTTCACTCAAACACTTTCTGGCACAGTACACTTTCCTTTATCACCAATCCTACATTTTTCTATTTTCACCTCTTACAGAAATTCTTTCCAAACATCTCTTGCATCCTCACCCTTTTTTCTTTTATGGTGCTTCTTTTTGCAATATTGCTCTTTCCATCTTATCTTTCCAATGGCAACAGCTGCTTTGGCCTCCCAGAAGAGCCAATAAGACAGGGCCTCAGGAAAACAGTGCTGCCTGCAGTTCGTGTGTGCCATCCTCATCACATCTGTGGATCAGCTGTCTGATACTTGATCTGGAAATACTTGAAGTATAAATAAACACATCTGCCTTCCTACAGATTGTTGGAGTAAGATAAGTTGGAGCATGAGTCCTACTGCAACCCACACACAGAATAATAGCCTGGGACTGGCATATTGGGGGTGTCCTCCTGAAGCAGTTTGGGAACCCACTCTCCCTGTGTTAGACCTCATTCAGTTGATCTCCAGGCTCCGCATTGATTGAAGTTGCAGGGTTTTGTTGCGTATACTTTTAAGCAGACATACTCAAAACTTCTTCACTCAGTTCTGACTCAGTCACTCACAATAAGCAAGGCATGCACCCTTTGACTTTATCCTTTTGTGTTTTCCCACAACTGGAATTTCAAACGCACCCTCTTTGTTCTATCCCAAATTAAGCTATGCTCCCACTTTCCTAAAACAGCCCAATGGCCCCAGTATAAGCACTAAATGAAAAATTACTATATTTTTCACTAATGGCATATGTATTACTAACATCTTAAATAGAAGTTTAGCATTGAGATGCCCAAGCTTATGTTCAGCACCTCTAGCTATGCATGTACTCAATATAGGCTACTTCCCATTGTTTAGTGATGCTTTTCAACTGCTTTAATTCAGTTGCATTTCTGTACATAGATCTCTTTTGTCTACCAGCCATTATAAATTGTGCACATATTTTTGAGTATGAAGCAGCATAAGAAGTGGGTAAAGACCTTCAATGTAACTTCCAGGTATTTAAAATAAATAGTGAAATATTTCCTAAGGACTGATAAAAGTATGACTAATGAGCTCTTATCTTTTACCTGCCAAAAGAGTGGTGCTATATCTATTAGAAAGGTAAGTTTTATATGAAAAAGTTATTTTGTACCAAAGGTACTTTTGTAGTGGCTACAGGTATATTGCAGAAATGGTAAAAATAGTCTCTGAAGTTTTTTCTTTATTTTTAAACTCAATTTCCATCTCTCAATACTGTTAACATTTATTGAATCCTTCAAAGCCTCGAGCTGTGACCGTGTAAGATCATATATAAGATGAGTATGCCTTATTTAATTATATCAGTCTTAGCAGGGTCGGAGGCTTACTTTCAATTAAGAAGTGCATTCTAAGGGATAAACATCCTCAAATTCCCTTAAAAAGTAAACAATTGACAAGTTATAAAAATCACCTCAAAAATGTCATTGCTTGTACCTGCACAGAATCGTTTGCAGTTTCATAACTTTATTTCCAACCAGTCTATAAGGCAGGAAGCATGCCAATTACAAACTGGAATAATGTATTTTGTTATTCTCAGGAGCAAAGCTAACTCCAACTTCATGTTAAAGAGTCGTACTAAATTCTAGGCACAACCTCCTTAATTATACCGGTCCCTGTAAATTTGTTCAGTGGGAAAGGAACTGATAAGTAGTTTCAGGAATTGTTATTTCCTTTTTGTGAAAGAATAATAAAAAGTGTGAATCACACTTTCCACATAATTTCATGAAATCCTTCATTAGTGAGAAATGACATTTTAATTCCATTTTAAATAAGTTATTTGTGCTTGGAAAGTAGCTCTATTAATTTGTTTAAAATTGCTAAGAATCTATTACCTTTGTAGGATGAGTACTGATTGTTGTGCCCTTGGTATCTTCACAACCAAATCATTTGCAAATGAAGGTTACAAACAGCATGCTAAACCAATTGCTGGAAGACAATATAGCATTATTTTTCAGTACTACTTTTAATTAAAATGTATTCCTTCTGTAATCCCACAGCTGACCAAACAGGAATGTTATTTATAGGAGATGCAATAATACAGGTCAGTAAATATTCATTTTTTTCCACAGACATTTGTTTCATACTTGCCTTTATGTTTATTTCATTAACTTACACATTACAAATAACTTTCTCCCTATCGTATCTGTTTTTAGGTTAATGGTATAAATGTAGAAAGTGCTACCCATGAAGAAGTGGTAAGTCATTCCACTTTTTTTTTTTTAAGCGTACAGTGTCCTGTGTCCCTATTGTTCTGTTTCTAGCCTTGTTTCATATGGGTTTGCTCTTTTTACTATAAAGACAAAGTGCTATAGTCAGGTTTTTCATATGGTTTTGGCTGTTAGCATTTTGTCCTGGGTTCAGCAGTAGCAGTCGTGTTTCTCCTTCATGGTAGCTGGTGCACTGCTGTGGAACAGTGCTGGTGGTACCGATGTTTTCAGTTGTTGCTAAGTGATGTTTACCCTGACCAAGGACTTTGTGAGGCTCATGCTCTGCCAGGGAGGAGGGGAAGCTGTGAAGAAGCAGAGATGGGGTGCCTGACCCAGGCTAGCCAGGGAGGTATTCCATACCACAGCACGTCATGGCCGGGGTGGGGGGGGTAACTGGGAGTTACCCGGAAGGACACGGGCTTCCGGGTGGGACTCGTTTCTTGGCCGGTGGTATCGTATTCTCTTCCCTTGTTATTTTCTCTTATCATTGTTGTCGTTGGTGGTAATGGTGGTGGTTTGTGTTGTACATTGGTTGCTGGACTGCTCTTGTCTCAACCCGTGGGAGTTGCACCCTTTCGATCCTCCTCCCAGTTCCTCCGGAGCGGGGAAGGGGAGAGCTCCGGGGGGGGGGCTCGATTGCTGTCAGCCCAGCACCACTCACTGAGAGTGAGTGAACAAGTTACCTGACTGGGTCTAAACACATTTGTTATAGTTTCTGCACTCTTACTGTGACTGTAAGATACGCACTTGACACAGATGTATTATTCTGAAGTTGAGTATTCATCATTATAGTTTTTACATCCCTTAGATAGCATAAGTTTTCAAAGCACAAAATAAAGCAAAAATGAAAAATGCTGGTTGGTTATTTCTGTTCAGTGGAGTGCAACTGCTTTTCCCAGAATATAAGCTTTATCAGTTTTATCATATGATCTTTTGTTTTCCTGTATACTGGGCTGCTTGCCACAAAAATTCAATAGAATGCAAATTAAAAATTAAAAGGCCTTTCCGATTTAAGAATGAATGGTGAAAATATGAAGAATGTGCACTACCTTTTTTTATGATGCTATTGTCCTTTGGGTGATCACAATCAGTCTTTCAGGGGTTGAAAATAAATTGAATAGTCTTTTTATATATATTTATATTATACATATGTGTATATAGAGATGTGTTTGTGCACAGATACAGTCTTTATGGATTATGCCTTAGGTGTAGTGTCTGATCTACTGGGATTGCAGGTACTCCTAAAGGAGGTGCTTGCTACAGTAGTACATTTAAATGGCAATAAAATTCTCACCTTCTTAGCACTGCAGGAACAGGGATTGAATTAGTTTAGAAAAGACAGCACTTAAAAATTAGAATATGTGATGTGGGTGTCACGATCCTGCTCAGTATTTAAAAACCTTGATTCCCATTTCCTTCAGTACAATTGAAAGGGACTCAACTTTTGTAAGTCTTATCCTTTCATGTACTGAGAAATAGAAAATCTAATCAATGTTTTGCTACCTATTTCTAAATGTGCACTTGTGTGAGAACATGGAGATTCCTTATGGGTAATGTATAAAGGAACACATTTTATTTTATTTTACTTTATTTTATTTTATTAAATTTAGCTTTTGCCCTAATTATATTTATGTACAATATACATTATTATTGTGGACTGTAGCGCACTGCACAAGTTTTCTGTTTCAGGTTAAGAATTCTCAAGTTACAGAAGTATACACAGCAATAACAGTAGCGTACAATGTTAAACTTTCTAAATGCTTTGACAAGAATGGGAGGAATCGAGAAAGCAGAGGTGTTACATTAAATCTCACCTCATTCTGTAAGTGATTTTAAGATGCTATTTATCAGACTTTGTCTAAGTTTACTAGGAAGCAAGAAATGCGTTCAAACACTGGCTCTTTTTGATGGTATACATAGGACTAAGATGCGCTTCATGTCTTCAAGACAGAGTGCGCGTGTTGGAGACATTCAAATCCCTAGTTAGTACTCCCAGAGTTTATAAAGCTATAGATAATAAACAGCCATAGTAAAGAAATGTCGTAGCTAATAAGACCATGCCCACTTGCAAGAGAATTAACAGAAAACAAAGATCTCAACTTCAAGCTGGGAGGGGATTAAGGCACACATCTGTGTCTTGGTTTTCATGGGAAAACCAGTGCGTGTGGATTGCAGTGACACACTGAAAAGGCCCCTTGCCACAACATGCTGTGGAATGCAGTCACAGTTTCTGCATAGCTTTTGAATCTAGTGATATTCAGTTTAGAGGAATCTTAAGAGTGAAGAATGGAATTATGGTCACCAGTTCTAGCACAATATGCTGACTACTGCTAGTGCTTTCATTTTCATGGTAATGTTCAAGAAATGCACTGAGGTCTTCCAGTGAGTTTTATTTGCTTAAAAAGGAAATTACTAAAATGCTTTTTATGTTGCTTTATAGAATTAAGATGGCAGGACTTCTTTTGGAAAAGAAATAAAATAGGGAATTACTTCTAAATACTGCTTCTGTAGCATTTTCAGTGCTTAGATGCTACAGTCAAACCTGAAATAAAAAAAAACAAACAAACCCCACATATCAATAGTTACTCTAATTACCTATCAGAGCAGACAAGAGGTAAGCCAGAATTTGCTGGCTGAATTTCCATCCTTCTCCTGTACATCACTTCCAACGATTCTGTACCACATAGCCTTGATAGGCCACTACCTCTGCTGTAGTGGTGAACACTGACTTGGTAATGGATGGCTTAAATAAGGTTTACGAGCTTCAAGGCTTTTTCTAAGGATTCATACCTAGACTTACGATTATGAAAAATTTATTGGATTTCATTTGAATATTTAGTGGGTGTTTCCCATTCTCACTTACTTTTTTCCTCTCATTGACTCTTCCAGTTATTTCTTGCAGTTGTGAAACAGTTTACCCCAATGTTTGGTCTAACCTGAAAAAAAAAAAAACACCGAAAACTCCACAGTAGTGGTAAATTTTTAACTGGTTTATTTCATTTACCAGATTGACTGTATGGGGATAAAGCCAGTTCACACTCACTCTATGTGCAATGTTTTTTCTGTCTGCAGTGCAAGACAGGATAGATAAAAATTGTTACCCCTGTTGCCTATTTATTAGGAGTTATCAGTCTATTCATTAACAGCTGTGTCTCAGAATAGTATCTGTAGCAACCATAAATGACTTTGACAGTCTTATCAGCGAGGCAGAAATTACCTGGGCAGAGGAGCTAAATTTGCTTTTATTACTTGGAGGTGATCTCTCTATGTCAAGATAAAGTACAGCTGCATGATATTTTGGTCCATTTTTTGTGTTGATTAATAACATCAGGCTGAATCTCTAGAATAATTACAGACAGTCTCAGTAAAGCACAGAGTCAGGTCTATTCTGTATTGGTGAACTGACCTCCTGCTGCTTGTATTGTTATTGCACATACAGAACTCTAAACTTCCTGAAAGTTACTCCCCACAAAATGCAAAGTTACATCTCTTAAAGATTGTTTTTAAGTACCAAGAAGTGCTCCTGACCTGTTGATGTAACACACTTATGCTGCAGTGGTGAGGCATGACAAATACATAACAATGCTTTTTGCTCTGTACATGGGAATCCAGTAGAAGCATTAAACAAAACTGCCTGGAACAACTGTAGGCTGTATGGCTGAAAGAAGCTCCAGAAGGAAGAGAGATCTCTATGGTCCAAGAGATAGGTCTGCAAAGAGACATTTCTACTACTGCAACCTGCTATCATAATCAGAGTGCAGTTAATAAATGGTTAGAGGAGGGGCTGATTCTGTGGGATTTGGAATGAGGTGGGCTACTGCCAAAGCTCCTGAGAGAATGGGAGTTGTCTGATTTCTTATTTTTATCAAAATTATGTCATTGCATTTTTATGAAATAATAGTTGAAATTTGTCATCCAAAATAAAAACTTCCTTATTTGAACATGGTGGTTATGTAATTGAAAAGAAATGCTTCAGAAAGAAGGGTTCATTTAATGTCTCTAGGTTTTCAGGTTATAGGAAACAGTATTTGCTATTTGTAGATCGATCATGTTAGTAGTGGTGCACTTGTCTGCTGTCAGCTGATAGCTTTGTGTTTGGGCACCTAGAAAAAATACTGAAGTGTTTCAGTGTATTAAACTATTAATATAGTATCTTACTGATTAAAGCTATTTGTCCAGAAAGCAGGACTTTAAGGATGGAGGACTCATCTAACTTAGGGAAGTCATACTACCAGTGAAAGAGCGCCCTATTTTCTAAGTGTGTCAGTCAGGTTAGGTGAGAAGCATTCAAGCAATTCTGTTCAGAAACCTCAACAATGAAGCCTGCATAGCCTAAGTTCACACTGGGTTGCATTTTACACTTAGTATTATTATCATCATACTAAGTATTTAATTAACGGAAGCCCATAAACGTTATTGAATAATTCTTTTAGGTTACTTTATTTTCATCTGGCACCATGATCTATTCAGTTATCTGCTTCAAGATGTGACTTTTGAAATGTCATCCTCCCATATAGTTTGAACCTTGCAGCTGGTATTCTGGGTAGTGAAGCCTCTTGCAAATACCTAACTCAAAATTATGAATCGTACAATGTGATCCAAGGGACTGCTTACTGGGTCTGTTTGGGATGGAGTTAATTTTCTTCATAGCAGCCAGGATGGTGCTGTATTTTGGTTTGTTAGTAACACACCAGTGTTTTCATTGATGCTGAGCAGTGCTTGCATGCCATCAAGGCTTTCCCTTTTTCCCATTCTTCCCCCTTTCAATGAATAGGCTGGGAGTGGGCAAGAAGTTGGAAGGAGACACAGCCAGGACAGCTGACCCCAAGTGACTAAAGGGGTATTCCATACCATATAACATTATGCTCAGCCGTAAAACAGTGTGAGGAGGTTTTTCTGGGGGAAGCAATCAATGCATGGAGGCTTGTAAGCGGCGAGGAGAAGCAGACAGGCCAACCCAATATGGGTGATAAGCAACTTCTACTTTA